GTCCCATATGAACAGATTGAGTGGGGCCCAGGGGACGAGGACAGTAGTGTAGGGCAGGGGAGGTCCTATGCTGCTGTCGCGGCTGGAGGGAAGCCACAAGGTAGTGGAGGAGGCCAGGGCCAAAGGGGCCAGGCCATGGGAGGTCGAGGACCGGGGTCCCCCGCCAAATCGTCAGGGTAATCGAACCCCGCAGCGATGAGGTGGAAGGGCACCTCAAGGAGGTTGGCACCCAGGCTTGCCACAGGGCAGGCCCTGGGAAGATCTGGGCTTGGACCAGCGATTATGGCAGGAACGCGTGAACTCGGGTTAGTGCGTATTCTGTGGTGACCCGGCCCACGTAATAAAATTTTGTCCTAAGTATAGACAGGCCCGTTGGGCTGCCCAGCAGTCAAAAGGCAGCCGCCAATAGGGGTCGCAACTGCCCCTACTTCAGGGCCATGTGGAGAAGTGAGCGCGCGCGAACAGGACACTCCCAACCAACATGGGCCCATGGCAGAGGTTGCAGGCCCGTGCCAAGATAGCTGTCGAGAGACTGCTTGTGTTAGCGTCTCGTTAGGCACGTCCCTCACAGGTGTGGCAGAAGAGTTAAAGGAGAGAATGCCAGCCTAGGCCAAGATAAAGAAAGAGAGTAAGGGACAACTTATCTTGGTAGACGTAGAGGTATTTAGAAGTAGAGTAGGGGCCCTCAGAGACTCAGGGGCCACCCACAGTTACATCAGCCGTAGGGCGTTGAAGAAGCTGAGATTAGGCTTAAAGGTCCAAAAATTGACAGACCCCATAGTCAGTGTCCTTGCAGACAACCGCACAATGCGTGTCGAGGACTATGTAGAGGGAGTCCAGGCGTACTTCCGCCTAGAGAAAGATGGGAGAATGGAGAAAGTTCTCCATTCCCTGACTCTCCTCGTACAGGATGACCTTCCTTTTGATGTAGTGTTAGGAATGGATTGGGGAGAGGAAGCAGGGGCCACACTTCATTTGAGAGAGCATGAGTGTAGGCTTCCTAGCCCGTCAGGCAAGGTCAAGACTGCCCACCTGTTTCATGTGTCAGGTGTAGACAACACCTTG